ACCTATACCTTAAAGGCCCTAAGCCTAAACACTAAATCAGACTAAACCCCTTAACAAGAACACAGTTTTCGGCACCCCAAACAGAGAAGCCGTCGAAGGCTCAGCGTTTAGAGAACCCTTGGAGTCTTTTTGGGTTGGATCTGAGATCGTGGGGGGGGTTAAGATTGAAGGTTCAGGATCTAGGCTTTAGGCTTTAGGATTTAGGGTTTAGGGTTTAAAGCCGCTCCAGTTCCGGGCAGCCAATCGCGTCATGCCCATGGGCCTTCAGTTTAGGGTTTAGGGTTTAGGGTTTCGTCAGACGTCTTGCATAGTCTCAGTTATTCTCTACCTTAACCCACCAGAACCTACCTTTTTTGTAGGGCCCCTATAAATCCCATATTAGGGCTTATAGTAAGAGCCGACATAAAAGAAGTGGGGTTTTGGTAGGTTAAGGTACAGCTGTGATCCCGCAACTCTACCGCAACCTATAGTAAAGCAAAACTCACCCTCCCTAAACCCTAAACCCTAAACCCTAAACCCTAAACCCTAAACCCTGAACCCCAAAACCCTAAACCCTAAACCCTAAACCCTCACACTGTGAATCTCCGGACGGAGCTCCCTTGCGGAATCTCGCAAGCCCGAGATCCTACTATACACGGTTTAGGGTTTAGGGTTTAGGGTTTAGGGCACGAAGTCCGAACAACCTATTTGACACCCCCTGCAAACTTCCTATCTATGGCAAGCAAAACGTGCGCAACAAATCGTGCTGTTGAAATCCGCATCAAGCAATTTTGAAACTCTGAAAGAAACTTAGCCCGATCAGGGTGCTATGAAACCATGGCCCATTACAGCACTTTATCAAAACCATTCTGAAATTATTGCAAAACCATTACGAAACTCTTACATAACCTAAACCCTAAACCCTCTAAACCCGAAGCCCTAAACCCTAAAACCTCCATCTGACAAACCTTGGTCTGAGGGGCTCTGCAGTGCCGACCAGCACAGAACCCACCGGGGCTCCAAGGCCCTTGGACAGGCAAACGTTCACCTCAGCTTTGGGGTACAGGGTTTCGGGTTTTGGGTTCGGGGTTTAGGGTTTCGGGTTGAGGGTATAAGGGGCTTGGGGTTTAGGGTTTAGGGTGTCGGGCTTATAGGCCTTGGTTTTGAAACCTCTTTTCCGTAGGAGCAACCCGGATGCACCACCATACGAGCGGTACCACGTGCATTCTTCCAAGGGTTCGGTGAAGGGTTTAGGAGCACTTGGCGGCTTTGTCCGAGTATAATTTGAGTGTTTTTCGAGACAGAGGAAACCCGAGGGAGTGTTCTGAGCCTTATGTAGGGGCCAATTCGAATAGGGTTCTGGGGCCCATTCTACTATAACTAATACAAGGAGCCCCCAAAATATTTTTTTACTGAGAACTGGGCGGCTTTTGGAACGTAGGGCTTTGGAGTCTTGAGGGTTGTCAAGGTACGAACACGTTTTCTGTTCAGAATTTTCCGGAGGTTCTCGTAAGGGTTACGACCAGCAGATTATATAGTTTAGGGTTTAGGACATAGGGTTTAGGGTTTAGGGTTTAAGGCTAAGTACTTGGATTCAGATGCTGCGCTTCGAGTTCAGGTTGAGGATTCGAGATTATAGGGTTGAGGGTATGATGGCTGCCCGCACCAAAAACCGACGTAGAACGTTAGAGAGTCAAGATGTAACTGGATTAAGACCAGAGTCGCAAGTAGGTCGGAAATACTTATCGGGTTTGTGTCTTTCGTCCTCTTGCTGGCAGAGCCTGGCAAAGCCTAGAATTGAGTTTAGTTTCTGGACGTAGGAAGAAACCGTAAGGCTAAGACTATATGTGAGCCATATTCCTGATGAAAACCTGAACCCTATACCAAAAACCCTTAACCCCAAACCCTTAAGCAAAAACCCTGCAAACTAAACCCTAAATCTTGAACCCTAAACCCTAAATCCTAAACCCTAAAGCAAAAAAAAACAAACCCTAAACTCTAAACCCTAAACCTTAAACCAAAAAGCCTAAACCCTAAACCCTAAAGCAAAAACCCTAAACCCTAAACTCTAAACTCCAATTCCTAAACCCTAAACTCTAATCCCCAAATCCTAAACCCTACACCCTATAAGCCCTAAACCCCGAAACAGCTCAGACCACAGGTTTCTGAGGCTTCCGGATGTTACATCCCTAGGCCTCTGGCCTGATGCCCTGTGATGTACCGCACCTTCCCTGAAGGTCGGTTTAGGGCTTAGGGCTTAGGGCCCAAATAGTATATACTTTGGCCTTAGAGTACTCCGCATATAGCTACCTTGGGGCCAAAGTATATACTGTTTGGGCACATCGACCCTTATGGATTACAGCCCCGAAACATGAAAACCCTTGGCCGAGATGCAGAGTCCGCTGGCTTGACCAACTCCTTTTATAAGAAGGGTGTAGGGTTTAGGGGTATAGAGTTTAGGGGTGGCGCTTGAAATCGGGACGCGAAGAGGAAACGTATTACAACCAGGGAGATACAACTGATGCTGCAGCAGCTCAGTTGTTGCTGCTGCTTCTGCCACTACAACTACTGGAGCCAGTATGTACTATACTGGCTGTAGTACTGTGAGCAGCAGCAGCAGCAGCAGCAGCCGCAGCAGCAGCAGCCGCAGCAGCAGCAGCCGCAGCAGCAGCAGCAGTAGAAGCAGCAGCAGCAGCAGCAGTAGCAACAACAGCAGCGGTCGCAGTGGCGGTAGCGGTAGCAATAGCAATACCCTTAGCGAAGTAGTAGTAGTAGTAGTAGTAGTAGTAGCAGCAGCAGCAGCAGCAGCAGCAGCAGCACAGAAGCAGCAGCAGCCTTAGCAGTAGTAAGAGTAGGAATACGAGTCGGACTGGACTGGGACTAGGAGTACGAATAGGAGTAGGAGAAGCAGAAGGAGCAGTAGTAGCAATAGCAGTAGCATTAGCATTAGCAGTA